TCCCACGCAACGCCCTGATAATGTTATAACTAATGCTACTCTAATAGATAATCTGGGTATAGTAATTGAATTGTTGTATGATGAATATGCATTAGTACGAATGTTAGTGTTTCAATGCATTACCTTCGACTGTGTTGCAAATGGGGTGTGTTTTGAGAGAATACTCGCTTATATTGAAATTAATTACACTATTAATCGTCAACGAAGTAATTAGTGTATTTTGTACATGGAATAAATTAAGTAAAAATGTTTGAAACAAATTAATTTTTAAAGATAAACTATTAAAAACTAGGGGACCCATGCTGCTCCACAGCGTTAAAATAAATATAATATCCGAGAACTAATAAAATTTATGATTTTTTTAGTAATACAGTATCTTGAGCTTAACTGTTTCAAACAATCAATAGCTCAAATTAAAGCCTTTAATTTACTGATTATTTTGAGTCTAAAACATATAGAAAAACATTAACAATACTGGAGCTATTAATTATAATCATAGAAAAACCTTATAAAAAGGATAATAGATGAATATATTCCGATGCTTGATATGAAATATGTGCGATAATTCAATTTGAGACAACAATCATGAAAATCGGTCGGTTATAAGAGCCAAACGAACTCGGAAAAGAGTAACCAAATTTAACTCCCATAAGAAATACATGGAGAGCAAATTTCGTTTATGTACAAGCCGATTGGGATTATAGATAAATATATGCCAATGCTTAATAGCAAATCTGTACGTGCATACCATAAATTTGAGACCTCAACCACGAAAATCGGTCAGGTAGAAGAGCCAAACGAACTTGGAAAACAAAAACTATTTTTTTAATATGTAAGATTATTAAATTTGAGTTGTGTAAATTATGTTTCAATTTCATCTAGGTATGTAACGGCATTATTGTGAATAATCTTTGTTTCCAAATCTATATATTTATCTACCTATGTATTTATATTAATCCAATGGAAACTCAGAAGTGAATAGAAAAGGTTCACGTGCAATGTAAGAGAAGCCATTGTATTACAAAGGGCACATTTTGCTGGCTCCATTGTGCCATACAAAAACTTGGAACGAATACTTTAATAGTAGTTTACGTAAATCTTGTAAGGATAGTGTTGTTAATACTACGTAACTCATAACTCACAAATCATAACTTCTAATAGTGGTTATGTTTTCAATTATAACCTCTTATTGACACTGGACAGTGATGCAACGACTCATTGTAACCACTAATTGCACAGATCGTTAAAATAAATTGGTAAACAGCTGATTAGTTGAAGTTCGAAGCATTACAATTTTACTTCTTTTCTCTCAATCCTTCAATCTTATTGTTCAGTTACTCGTGTTGTTAAGTAAAACATTTCTAAGAAGTGAACTGAAACGGCTAGTAAACAACTGTCGTAGGTAAAGTTTTCGAAACAAAATATCAATATTGTTTAGACTTCCTTACCAGCTGGCTTCGCTGTTGACAGCTTTGTTTACCAAGATCAGCTGGTTCTACAGCCAGGGTGAATTTAAGCACAATAATTATCAAGGACAACTAGGTTTAGTTTCGGACGAAAAACACACGACTTTCTCAAAATTGATCTTTTGACCTTCGGAACAGCCCTATAACTGCCCATCAAACTATAAAACATGACTAAAAGCAGAAACATCAATAAATTCGCCCACAGTACCTGCAACTGAAAACTCAATTCCCAGTTTCCCTAGACAAGACATATCTAATATATTGTCAATAAATGACAGGGATTATCAAAAATCTATATCCAGAACAGCTTTGGGGTCTTCTGCTGCAGTGGATGGATTTTATTAACTAAGCCAACGTGGGAGGATAGGTGCGTTGGCGTTGACATGATAAAGCCAATGTTATCTATTGCTAACACTTTGACGTTTGACGTTTTCTGTTTTTGACAATCAAATAATTAACATTATTGTATTTATAGAATGTAGTGTTTTAATAATGTAGTAGTTAGAGTCTAAGACTACGGTGTTGGAGGGTCAGGTTCGATTCCTGGCATACACAAAACATTTGAGTTTTGACCACTTGTCCCAAAAGCGGTTGAGTAGACTGTACAATTACCTACAATAAGATACCTCTGGTATAGAAATGAGAGCGTTGGTCGTGGCGGGAAAATCGTGGATCCATTTACCTGAAGTTCTTGGTTCGAATCTCGTTAATCACTTTATTTTATCTGTTTAAGTTAAATCAGGGGTTGTAATCTATAAAAAAAAATGTTGGGTCTTCAGGAAAGAATAACTTTCTCTGTATTCTACCACAAACATATAATTGATCTAGATTTACCAACATACTAATGAATATGCAAACAGAGGAACAAACCAATTAAAAGACGAATGAAATAACTAGGTTCTATTCCTGGACAAAAATGAAAAATATTTTGCAACAAAACTACTGTATTTGTTTGAGAAAAAACGTCAAACAGGCTACTATACTCTTTAAACTGGACCAAAGAGAGAGTTTTAATGACGATGATATCAAAGCGAATAAAAACAAAACGTGACCATCTAACACACAAAGTCACACACGTGTTATTGATAACTATGGTTTAATCAGAGGAAGTATTTTCCCCTTTGAAAATATTTTCAGTATTACTAATCCTTTTTTAATATTACTGGCCTAATACTTCACTTTATATCACGTTCGACAACATTTTTGTTCACTCAATTGGCCAACGCCGTGATATTCTCCCAACGCAATACCCGCAATACATGTATGTCTCTGTATTGCTAGGCAGCGCCGTTGTATCTCCCTTACACAATTATCCATACAGATCGGCTAAAAGTTAGCCTCCTCTCCAAGGCCGCGGCGAGACAAACGTGGCAACGCCGCAGTGTCGTCCTACTGAAACAGCTGTTGAACTAATTTATACTGGAGAGTCTGCAAAATGCTACTGTTAACACTTTTTTTACTGTTGTTACCATGGCAATAGGTCGGCCGGTGCGAGTTTGTCACACACGAAGGCCGCGGCCTTGTATTAGAAGATTCAGCTTGATCTTGCTTTTTGTGTGAACTCGTTCATGCATTTCATCAAAATCAACCAAAATTACTCAAGTCATTGTGTTTAGGGACAGACATGTACAGTGTGTAAATTAATTCTTGAAACAAGTCTGTATTTTTTAAACTGAAATAGATATAAATATCCTGGTTGTGGCGTGTTTTGATTTGATTTATGTGAAAAATCACCGGTTTTGGAACACCCACCATTTTGGCTAAGGGTGAGATATTCACCTCGGATTTGCTTCATTGTGTTTCTTTTGACAAACCGTTCAAAATGAGGGGTCACAAAATAGGGGTTGCTATTTGAGAAAATAAGTCACCCCCACTCCCTACCCTGTTAGGGGGGTTAAAAAATATTTTTGATGTAAAAAAATTGAAATCTTTGTTAACAATTACGAGGTGTTAGCCCATCCTACGTACGGGAGTAGTCAGTTAAAACTGTGTATAAATCAAAACAGCTAGCTTACACGTATAAAGACAAATTTTATAGCAGCATACAGTAGAAAGAGTAATTATCAATTAAGAAAGTGTATAGGCCTAGTCAACGATATCACCTTCCAATTCCATCGCCTACCTGCCTCTTCCATAATCAATATCAACACAATACAATTACTCATACTATACACAATTTCCAGTAGGTCTGAATAGAAACTCCCTAAAATAAAACAAAAACATCCAATAAAATTCACAGTACACATAATTATAACGTTGGTGTCCTGACATCATTAAACGAATCGTCCACACATATCCTTTATATCAATTTCACTGCATCAATTGCTAAATATTTAAGTGTAAACAAAGATAAGTAAAAAGAACAACATATAGTTTGTTTTGGTAAACAGCTGAGTCAAAAATAAAATAATATTATTCATTTGAACAATAGAACTGGTCACACACACAGGAAAATAAAAAGTAAACACGCTAATGACGTAATTGTCAATGTTTATTATCCATACCATTATCAGTTGTATCCTTGATAATTACCCACCCTCATTGAATAAATGTACATCGTAATTTCCCACATTAGTTAATTTAAACTACAATATATTCATGGTTGAAATAAAAGTTATATTTTCAGGTTTGGGGGCGCTGATATAGGCGCCCCAAACGTAACCACAACTGATCACGATTTCATAAAAGGATGGTTTGTCTAATTGCAGTATCCTAGGTCAATGTTGACGTTGTGTTCAATCTATGTCATCCATCTGTTTATCTTTGTATAAAACCCGGCTGAGGTTGTGGTGGTAATTTAAAATCGTGATTCCTGATTATTCTTGATCTTCTTTTTATGATATCAATATTTCCGGGCCTAATCCAAACAAAGTTAAAGCAGAAAAACATTAATTGTAAACAAAAAGCTACCATGAAGAATTAAAACATGTAGGCCTAAACATTGCTATTTTTCTAATCTTTTCTTGAAAAGTGGAGCAGTAAAATAATTTGCATTTATCCTTTTTTATTAAGACTCGTGTACAGAGCCTCGATTTGTACTGTAGTTGAATTAATTTTGGTCTAAACTATTTTAAACTGTGGTCTAATTATCTCTACTAATCTTACTTATTTACTATAATCAATGACAAAATAAGAGTAAATAAAATAACCTCATAGTTCCATAGTTTATATTTAACCAGCTGTTAGTTAAAACAAATTAAATATTGCTCTAAAACAAATCGAAGATTACAAAGATTGCTTTAAAAAATAATTTGAACATCCTAGTATTTTACTATGTATATTTAATTAATCTGTCATCCTCTTACAGAAGAATTGAACGTATCAATGATTAGCATTACATAAAGTGTTGGATTGGGAAATGGTAAAATTAAAATTATAAAAAAGAAACCATGTTGACTTGAGCAATAAAAACAATGTAATGAAAAAGTAAACAGAAAGAAATAATAACATATGATAAATAAATATACACATGTTAAATGCAGATCAAGGGGAAAAGCCTTGAACATACTGCCCGCCTTAAAGCAACGAAGTGCTTTAACCAAAGTCAAGAAATGGTGTTTCACGTTGTAGTCTGGTGGAGCAGTCACGCTTCTTTTGGAGGGACACTATTTCATCTGCAAAGGTGGCTTGTGGAACATGATGGAAGATCTTGAGACGAGCTTTGGAGATTTCAGACGATGAGAGAGGACCACTGAGACGGTCATTTTGGTGACGACAATTGTGAATGAAGCGGTTAAGAAGAGCGACAATGCGTTGGAGTTTGTTCCACGATGAGTAGGCAGAAAGAAGTTCCCACTCCTTTTGAGGAGCCGATGTAAGAACAACCAAAGGTGTCTTCTTGATTTCTTCTGACGAAGAAAGGTCCTCAGGAATGAAGTGCGAGGTAGGCCAATGACAAGTGGGGAGCTTAAGCCAAGGAGGGCCTGTCCACCAGAGCGGATGGTTGACAAGTAGGGAAGCAGAAATTCCTCGTGACGCACAGTCTGCAGGATTATCAGTACTTGATATGTGTCGCCAAGAGTCGATGGGAACAAGTTCTTGAGTTTGAGAAACCCTGTTGGCTACATAAGTCTTGAGTTTGTAGGGTGGAGTCCGTAACCATGCCAAGACTATCGAGGAGTCACTCCATAGATAGATATTTTTGATGGCAATTTTATCTGAGAAGAGAGAATGACAATGTGCTACTAATTGCGCGAGAAGATGAGCAGCACAAAGCTCAAGGCGAGGAAGAGTTACTCTTTTGAGAGGAGAGACACAAGTCTTTAAGATTATTGGACGAATGATGGTGTCACCATTAGACATCTGACAGCGGAAATATACGACAGCAGCGTAGCCACTCTCTGACGCATCTGCGAAGCCATGTAATTCTACGGTGCATGACAGGGAAAACTGTAACGCTCGAGGAATAGAAATTTGAGATAAATATTGAGTATCGATTAGGAATGAATGCCATTTTTCGGCGAAATTAGTGGGCAGGGGATCATCCCAGGATAAGCCTGTGGTCCATAGTAACTGCATAAAACATTTTGCTTGCATGATGGAGGGAGCGAGAAATCCACAAGGATCGTAGATTTTTGCTATGATGCTCAAGATCGAACGTTTTGATGGATGAGGGTCCATAGGGAAGTTAAGGTTGTAAGTGAAGCAGTCAGAGTGGGGAGACCAATGTAGGCCAAGTATTGTGAAGTGTGGCTGTTCAGAATCTTGGAGAAAGACGGGAGTCTCAAGATGCTCCTTGGGGAAAGCTTGTAGAAGACGATCAGAGTTGGAGACCCATTTACGTAATTCAAATCTTCCTCTTCGTAACAGGTTGACCAATTGATCTTGAAGTTTCAAGGCCGTTTCCTCAGTATCCGCACCAGTGATGATGTCGTCAACGTAGGTTTGCGTTCTTAGTACTTGCGCTGCCTCGGGAAAGTAGTCACCTTCGTCGTCAGCGAGTTGGTGAAGAGTATCGGAAGAAGAGTCACTTAAGATAGCAGATGGTTCAGGATGGGACATTAAGATCTCAATAGTAGCCTCGATATGAGAAAATAAACCTTCAATTTCATCCAGGTCTTGAGACAATGTCTTGTCAGAGATAGGATCCTCTTCTAAGATTAAAACCCGTTGCACATTGTTGTCGAATTCTTCTTTTCTTTTACGAATTTCATTTAAATGAGCATTAAGTTGGTTTATTTGAATAGGGGTGAGTTGTTCCTTTGAGGTATAGTATTCATCAACAGTATCTTTAAGCTTATTAAAACGAGTTTTAATTAGAGATGTTGAGCGAGTGTATGTAGATGACTTAAAATCAGAAGTTTTAGGAGCCATTGTAGTAGTAGAACACAAAATTTACCAGCAGCACGCACAATATAAAAAAGTCTTGAGCACACACAAAATCTCAGTTTGAAGTCAAAACAATGAATTATACATCAAAGATACAGATAATAAGTTTCTTTCAATAAAGTCTTTAACTAAAAGGAGGCATGTATAGTCTATTAAGTGCACAAACAATTAATGAACTTGAGCTTGTTTGATTGATTGGCACCAAAAATATAGTATTAAAGTAAGTAAAGAGTTCATTTCATATCGTGATCTGAGTCCAAAAAGATTATAATCGGGTAAACTTCAAAAACAACAAATTAGTAGTGGACTGTAAGGAAACTGAGTAGAACATTTAGTTTGAAAATGGGGTAATGTTAACAAGTAATGAATATAGTTACAAGGTTTTCATCCGGCTGCGAATTAGGACCAAATGTTGGATTGGGAAATGGTAAAATTAAAATTATAAAAAAGAAACCATGTTGACTTGAGCAATAAAAACAATGTAATGAAAAAGTAAACAGAAAGAAATAATAACATATGATAAATAAATATACACATGTTAAATGCAGATCAAGGGGAAAAGCCTTGAACATATAGTATAAATAAGTCAACCCTGAGTATGTCTTTACATTTTTATCCAAATGCTGAATTTGTGACACAAAAGCTGAATGTTTACAGCTGTTATGTTAAGCAAATTATTTTATGCCAAAAGCTAGTTTTGAATCTTAGCGTCGGCTGCTAGACTTTTTAAAAATTAAAACTTAATTTCTAAAAAACTGGGACCCTAAACTAAAATTATGGCTTCGACATTCCCTAGTTCTCAAAATTATCTTTCTTTCAACACAAAAATCATGAAAATCCGTCGAGTTGTTGATTCAGAATCGTGCAATAAAAAAACACTGTTTCGTTTTAATATTATAGATTGCCATAATCAGAATATTTCTATCTATTTCGGTTTTAAAAATACATATTTGTTTCAAGACTTAATTTACACACTGTATAAATGGTTAATGAATAGTGTTTTTGGGTCTAAGAACTTTACCGTGACACCTACAGAAATGGCTTCTTTCCTATAGGGAAATTCGCTAAAATAATCGTTTATCCATTTTATGATGTAGGCGAGTACGGAGTAACCATACACCAAGTGGGCTGAGTGTCACCATTGGGTTTCCAGTCCTTTTGTTATGTAATACCTTTGACGATTAGTATCCAATTGTCAATGGTAATACACTAGCTGCATGATGTTTAAAGTCAAAGATTCACACTTGTGTAGTTAGGATTTTCTGGGTAATTAGCTGTATCCAGTTACAAGATACTTTGACTAGCATTTCAATTACTTGTAAAAATTAAGTAGACGTACGGTTGTTTAATTTTGTGTTAATTTAGTTAATTTTTATATTTCAAAAGAATATAATGTTATTCTTAATAAAACTCTAAATTGAAATGTCACATATTCACGATGAAAGATATTTATACTAATTTATGTCCAAAAAAACATTTTGGGTTAATATATTTTAGCCTGCATTATTCTTTACCAGTGTGAATTGTCAAAATATAAACACTGTAAGATCTTTCTTATATATTCCACCAAACGTCAACCAAACGTAAAAATTTACTCATAGGGGGTAAATATTTCCAGTAGTACTGTAAGAAGGGTTTTTATGTACTTGTGTTTACAATATATGCAAATGAAAAACTCTATCTATCAAACTTCTTTAATAAGATTTAAATTAAAGTTATAGTGCTCAACTTTATATCTGAAGGTCGCTGGTTTGATTCCAGTCCAGACTCAGATACCATTTGACATTGGGCTATCAATGTTGCTACCTAGCTATAAGGTGGACGTTAGAAATTAAGAAGACCAGGATTTAGGCTGTTCCCTAAAAAAAAAACTTATGCCGGTGTTATATTATATACACAAAAATAAAAAAAAATCCTTTTGTGAACTTCTTGTAAAACGGCAAATGCTGAGGAGATAAATAAATTAACAAAGTAGAGCATCTTCTTTGCTAAAAAGTGTTAATCAAATACGAGTAGATGGTATCCATACAACAGATTGGTTGTAATGGGAAAGTTTGGTATCAGACAATATTACTTTATAGTTGGTGACACACTATTATCACTATTGACTGCATCGGGCTTCTCTATTGAGATGCACAGAGCTTCATTGCTGATATACATTGTCAGTTAATGTAAACTCACAAGAGCTATTTTTCCATCAGATGCCTTAATGTGCCCTGTTCAAAGTCTTTGAAACTAATAACAGTTTGACAAAGCGGAGGCTTAAGATATGTGTTGAATGTGATGGTTCATTCTTTGTTATGCTATACATTCTTTACGATTTTAATATTTCAGAGTACTTAATTTTTATTTAGACCATCTCTTGGTTTGTTACAGGTTTGATGACCCACTGCATATTGTTTTCTTCTTTAAGTTTTTTGCAACGCTCTCGAAAGTAAGCTGTGATATAACTCCCTTCATTAATGAACTCAATGTATTTGGCTTGACTTGAAACTGTGCTTCCAAAACCAAGTAATTTAGCATTGGTGTTTACAAACTGTATAATCAATTATTACAAAAATAACTAATGAAACTCCTATCTTCAGTGTAATGAACTTGATGTGCTTCCAAAACTAAGTAATTGAATATGTATGTTTAGTGTTTACAAACTTTATAGCTAATTACAGTATTACAAGAACAAATGAAATCCATCTTCAGTGTAATGAACACTATGTACTCTTCCAAAACAATGTAACACGTTATTAAATAGTATTACAAAACTTAAAAATAAAATATCACAATCCAAGAACAAGTTTCGATCAATTTTATCATGGATTGCCCTCACGGCTTCCACAAATGCCACCTACCAGACCCCGTGGACGTATACAACGTAAGATGCGCTCTAGCAGAAATCAACAAATCCACTCACATCAACTTCAGCGTTTCCGAAGCCCTCAAGATTCTACGAGAGCACGTCAGTCATGACCAGAACGTCAATCATACGACTGAGATGATCCTCATCTTCGTCTACACCCTCCTCATCATCTCCGGACTATCGGCCAATCTCATCATTAGTTTCGTGGTGGCTCGTAAGACGCAGATGCATTCACCGAGGAACATCTACATCGTGAACCTCACTATCTCTGACATGAGTTTATGTGTCGTCTGCATGCCGTTCACCGTGATATCTATAGTGCAGAGGCATTGGGATCTTGGGCTGAACTTGTGCAAGCTGGTGCCAGCGCTGCAGGGTGCTAACATACTGGTGTCGGTGGGAACGATAACTGTCATCGCGTTGGACAGGTAAATTTATATATTTTTTAGTTGGTCTAAGCATTAAGACAGTGCCCACAAACAAGTAGAGTGTACACATTTTTTGAGCACACTGTACTCATTCAGTAGATTACAGCAGTCTCATTGATATGAAATATCTCAAATAAAAATTTTAAAAAGTGAGTTCTGATTTTAATTACTAAATATTTTAATTGCATTACCCATTTAAAATTATCTTTCCTATCTTGTGATTACTAGATTTCGTAGATAAAATTGGGCATCCTGGTAGGTATACTAGTATCAGTGATATTAATTTGTATTGCAGCTTATACTGTTTTTGTGTAGGTATTTCACTATCGTCTGTGGCCAAGATGGACAAAGTACTAGGAAAAGGGTTTTGACATCTATAATAGTTCTTTGGATTATTTCTGGTGCGGCTACCTCCCCAATATTTTACTTCCAGGTATTTTACATTAAACCACATTGTTTAGTTATAGATTAACATGGCAAATACAGTACACATTTTTCAGCTTAAAAAAGTTATCTTTGAAAGCCATTTCTCCAAAGATATTTATAAAATGAGCAGGGCCGGACTTAGGACTTCAGAGGCCCCGGGCGAATTTGCCGATGGGGCCCCCAGTATGATTATACGAGAACATATACGGTACACAATGTAACGCATTTACATGCACACTAATTTTAAATAGCTAATTTCAAGGTGAATTAATATGTAAACCTGTTAGAATGCTGTATTTTGCATAAACTAATTGTATGTAATATTTTAAGTCTGAAAATAGCTACAATGTACGGTGTTATTTTATGATTTGTTCTTGTTGTAATTGTATTTATACAATTTTAATATACCTAGCAGGTACCTTACACATTTTTTGCAATACATTAAAATGTAATATCCTTTGCAACAAATAATGAAAACTATAGATAAAATAAAAATAAAATAACACGTACTTGTAAAAGGTTTAATTTAATTTATTTACTGTAATACACATTCTATTTGGTGCTTGAATGAAAACTCAAATGAAAAATAACTAACATTAATTAATGGAATAAGTTATATTTAAACACGTGATGTAAGTCAGAGATAATGCATAAACTTTTAAAGCTTTAATATATTTTATAACTTACTATAATTTTACTAACAAACCTTTTACTGTACTAATTTTATAAGATACAAGTCAAAACAATTTTAAAGTTTACTTTTTATAGATTAATCATTATAAAGTTTAGAACATAGTTATTTTCCCTATAAATAAATGGCACTTCCTACTCTGATACGTTGGTCACGTTGGCATGGCAATTAAAACCTCCTGCTTTTCCTACATTTCTTGGCTGCACTAAAACTATAAAATCATAAAATATGACTTATGTTTATTTTCATAGTGGTTTTGGCATGGAATTCTCGTTTGTATAATATGTTAAAAGTCCTAGCATGAAACGAGTTTGAGTTTTTTCTTGACGAGTAAAATGTTACAATACAAGTCTAATAACCAATCACAAGCTAACCATTTATATGAGTAAACTGAAAGATGTTTAAATGTATTCAATATAAATTAATATAACACAAACATAACATTCAATACAACATTAATTTGTTCTTTGAAGTGTTTGCAGAATTAATAATAAAATACAACACAAAAGTACGATAATGTCAACCAAAAACACACTGGGAGTGATTTAAATTGTTTTGGATTGGCGATAAGGCATTGTATGTATGTGTATGCGCGTGCGTGAGACATACAAGACTAGACAGGATCCCTTATCAGCTCATTATCATTTATTGTTGCAGCTGCTTGTTGAGCGCTTTTTTACGATTTCAGTCGACAACGCTCGCCCGCTCCCAAATAATGTAATTTTTGTTAACATCAGACGACCCTAGTTGTCATAAAATGTCTATATAGATTTTTATCCTACTGGCGCTGTATGATTTTGACTCTATCGACTAAATTGAAGATCCGAATTTCGACGTATAACTTAATTACTATTTTATAAAACATTTTAATTGAATGGGTAATATAATACTTCTGCCCCTTAAAATCGTGAATGGCATATACTTAGAGGTAAAAGAATAACATCTAATAAAACATATTTTTCAAACAATGTTTTTATTTTTCAAAAGTATTAGCAGATCTCAATTGAATCTCCATTTAACCCCAACACAATTGTACAAGTTACGTTCTGCGTTAGGACAAGAGTTTTCATATTATTTATTGTATTTTTTGCCCCAAGCGAAGGGCCCCCCTTCAACTTGATCACCGCGGCCGTAGGTTTGTGTGAACGGCTTCATTGAAACTCAAACTGGTCCGTCACAGCCTAGCTGCTATGCTCGTGTAAACTAGGTCTAAGCGCGGGGCCCAGTGCAACCCTGAGGAAAAGTCCCTTAGAGTCAAGAATTTTGGTCCTAGTAATACCTTAAAGTTCATCTAACAATAACCTTAAATATAGGATAACGACAATAAAGCTGTTAAAAAAGAAGATCATTCGGTAAGTGTCTGATTAATTTTCGAAGATATTAATAAAAACTACTGTGCAAGGGGCCCCTTCGGGGCCCCCCTAGGCCCGGGGGCCCCGGGCGCTCGCCCCGTCCGCCCCTAGGTAAGTTCGGCCCTGACCAGGGCCGGACTTAGGACTTCAGAGGCCCCGGGCGAATTTGCCGATGGGGCCCCCAGTATGATTATACGAGAACATATACGGTACACAATGTAACGCATTTACATGCACACTAATTTTAAATAGCTAATTTCAAGGTGAATTAATATGTAAACCTGTTAGAATGCTGTATTTTGCATAAACTAATTGTATGTAATATTTTAAGTCTGAAAATAGCTACAATGTACGGTGTTATTTTATGATTTGTTCTTGTTGTAATTGTATTTATACAATTTTAATATACCTAGCAGGTACCTTACACATTTTTTGCAATACATTAAAATGTAATATCCTTTGCAACAAATAATGAAAACTATAGATAAAATAAAAATAAAATAACACGTACTTGTAAAAGGTTTAATTTAATTTATTTACTGTAATACACATTCTATTTGGTGCTTGAATGAAAACTCAAATGAAAAATAACTAACATTAATTAATGGAATAAGTTATATTTAAACACGTGATGTAAGTCAGAGATAATGCATAAACTTTTAAAGCTTTAATATATTTTATAACTTACTATAATTTTACTAACAAACCTTTTACTGTACTAATTTTATAAGATACAAGTCAAAACAATTTTAAAGTTTACTTTTTATAGATTAATCATTATAAAGTTTAGAACATAGTTATTTTCCCTATAAATAAATGGCACTTCCTACTCTGATACGTTGGTCACGTTGGCATGGCAATTAAAACCTCCTGCTTTTCCTACATTTCTTGGCTGCACTAAAACTATAAAATCATAAAATATGACTTATGTTTATTTTCATAGTGGTTTTGGCATGGAATTCTCGTTTGTATAATATGTTAAAAGTCCTAGCATGAAACGAGTTTGAGTTTTTTCTTGACGAGTAAAATGTTACAATACAAGTCTAATAACCAATCACAAGCTAACCATTTATATGAGTAAACTGAAAGATGTTTAAATGTATTCAATATAAATTAATATAACACAAACATAACATTCAATACAACATTAATTTGTTCTTTGAAGTGTTTGCAGAATTAATAATAAAATACAACACAAAAGTACGATAATGTCAACCAAAAACACACTGGGAGTGATTTAAATTGTTTTGGATTGGCGATAAGGCATTGTATGTATGTGTATGCGCGTGCGTGAGACATACAAGACTAGACAGGATCCCTTATCAGCTCATTATCATTTATTGTTGCAGCTGCTTGTTGAGCGCTTTTTTACGATTTCAGTCGACAACGCTCGCCCGCTCCCAAATAATGTAATTTTTGTTAACATCAGACGACCCTAGTTGTCATAAAATGTCTATATAGATTTTTATCCTACTGGCGCTGTATGATTTTGACTCTATCGACTAAATTGAAGATCCGAATTTCGACGTATAACTTAATTACTATTTTATAAAACATTTTAATTGAATGGGTAATATAATACTTCTGCCCCTTAAAATCGTGAATGGCATATACTTAGAGGTAAAAGAATAACATCTAATAAAACATATTTTTCAAACAATGTTTTTATTTTTCAAAAGTATTAGCAGATCTCAATTGAATCTCCATTTAACCCCAACACAATTGTACAAGTTACGTTCTGCGTTAGGACAAGAGTTTTCATATTATTTATTGTATTTTTTGCCCCAAGCGAAGGGCCCCCCTTCAACTTGATCACCGCGGCCGTAGGTTTGTGTGAACGGCTTCATTGAAACTCAAACTGGTCCGTCACAGCCTAGCTGCTATGCTCGTGTAAACTAGGTCTAAGCGCGGGGCCCAGTGCAACCCTGAGGAAAAGTCCCTTAGAGTCAAGAATTTTGGTCCTAGTAATACCTTAAAGTTCATCTAACAATAACCTTAAATATAGGATAACGACAATAAAGCTGTTAAAAAAGAAGATCATTCGGTAAGTGTCTGATTAATTTTCGAAGATATTAATAAAAACTACTGTGCAAGGGGCCCCTTCGGGGCCCCCCTAGGCCCGGGGGCCCCGGGCGCTCGCCCCGTCCGCCCCTAGGTAAGTTCGGCCCTGAGAGGAACAGACGGACCACTCTGCTACTCAGTAGTAAGTTGTGGATGTATAGTTTATTTTATGTCCCATCTTCACTTTCTAGAACGCTAGGTTCTAGCGGGGAATTATTTTTACTCTTTACGCTACCTATTTGTCAACCAATCTTTGAACTAAAATGTAAAGATATTGTTATTCATAATGCATTTTAGTACCTTAGGTATATTTTAATGAAATGCTCGTTTGTTTGGTTACACAATTTATTAAAAAAGCTTCTTCGATGTTTTACTTTAACACATAACAACCATTAGTCTATGATAACACTAACAAATAGCAAATACCTTTTGTATAAGGAAACATCAAGACATATTTTCTCTAACGTAGTTCAAGCTTCTCGGAAACAGCTTATGGCTTATGTATTTGTTAATAGGCCTCTGGGCTACTTATTTAAGAGTTCTTATTTTGCAAAAAATTACACAACTTTTAGTATTAAGGAAAGAAATCTTGCTCTCAATTTGCATTCTCTTTGTACATCCCGATTTTCCTTTTACTTACATTCACCGTTTGATAGTTACAATTTCTGTTTGTAATAATACTGTCTGTTTGTTTCCCAGTTGTGAGAATATTGTTTGTTTGTTCCCCAGTAATGACAAAACTGTTGTTTGTTTGTTCCCCATCCCAGTTGAGACAAAACTGTTGTTTGTTTGATCTCCAGTTGCGACGATATTGATTGTTTTTCCCCAGTTTTTACAATACGTCTTTGTTTGTTCTTTGGATGTGACGATACATTTTTGTTTGTTCTCCAGTTGTGACGATACTGTTCGCTCTGAGCTGGCTGCCCCTGAGCATTTACAACC